TCTTCAAAGTCATCTCTCTAGACTTTAGACTACCAATTAAGTCGTCCAGCCGTAGTGATGATGTGTCTTTGGCCTCCTCAATAGCAGTAACCGTCATGCTGAATCTTTCTGGGAGAGTTCTCAATACCTTATTCACCAGTGTCTCATTGCTTAAAGGACCACCTAAGGATTGAAATTCATTGGCTAAATCAATCAATTTCTCATTGTACTGAGAAATTGTTTCAGTTTCTTCCATTCTCAGTCTCTCAAATTTGGAAGAGAGTAATCTGAGCTTGGTTCTTCTGACACTATCTGATCCTTCACAATGTAGCTGTAGAACCTCCCATGCATCCTTTGCAGAAGTGCATACTGAGATCAATTTAAACATTGTTAAATCTACTGAATTGAAGATTGCATTCAACGCCTTGGAGTTTTGATTGGCATTTGATAGATCATCTGCTGTCCACCGTAACTCTGGTGTTGGAAATACATCCCCATCTGCATCTGTGATTGTTGGTGCCTTCCATCCAGTGAGAATGGATCTCCAGGCTCTCTCATCAATGGCTTTGATGTATGCCCTCATCTTGACTTTCCAGTAGGTGTAGTTTGTGCCGTCGAGTACAGGAGGTCGCATAGAAGCAGTCATCTGAGTATCCATCACGAATTCGTTTCTGAAAGAAAAAATAGGAACAAACACTTAGTATACGTCAAGTGTTGGCTCTTGATGCCAATTGAAAGAATTTATGGTCCCGAATTCGTATTATACAGAGATGTTATCTTAAGTGTTATGACACTTGAACAAACATGCAGCGGAAATATAAAGATAAAAGAACAATACTCAGAATTAAAAATGTTCACAAGTAAAGACTTGTGAACTTGCCCTTTACAGGACGGAAAAATATATTAAAATCAGTATTCCAAGAATACAAACAGAAGAGTGCGAAAACTTCTTCCTTATGAATGAATCTTTTTCAAGATCATTTTTACAATCAAATCTAGATACTAAAAGAAAAATATTAAAAATTCTAGATTTCAAAGAATGTACTCATAAGGAGTACGTAAAACAGATCCTAGAAAACACTCTAAAATTCTCGAGATTAAAACTTTAGCTCTCTTTTTGTTCTCTCGAAATCTGCACTATTCTTGAGTCTTGAGTTTGGTATTTATAGACTTGCCAAGCTTCCACTCCTCAGCCCATGATCTGCAAGAAAACCAACCACAAGAGCACTCAAGATAATGGGTTAGTGGGTTAGTTAGGAAGTTAAAATAAAACCCACAATTAAACCCACTAATCACTACTTAGCCCACTAAGTAATAACACTTAGCCCACTAAGTAATAACACTTAGCCCACTAAGTAATAACTAAAATTTAGTTTGAAAGTAAGAGAGTTAAAAACACTTTTGTAAAATATAACAACGTGTTTCAGGTAGGATATTAGGTAAGGGGGTTTTCTCTAATTATTTTTGGGAGGGGGGGTTTTCTTAACTCTTTTACCTAGATGAGGGGGGTATTGCTAATTATCCCTAAAAAATATATAATTTGAAGGTAGGCATCCTATTCTAAAATGGAAGGGTACAAATTGAAAATTCATGTACTTTTTTGGGGTGCAAAAGGCAATTCACCCGCCAACACGAGTTGACACCTGGAAAATCTTTATGAGGCTAACCAAGAAAATCTTGTTTATTCTTTTCCAACGCACAAAGAAAAGCATTATTATATTCCAAAGCTGATTTTGTTTTAATGGCAAACATTTTTAATTTATTTCCTCTATGTGCACGACCAAATGTCACTATGTAAAAAGACACCTCCCATTACTACCAAACTTGAAAAAAAATATGAGAAAAATTCAAAGAAATTCAGAATCCATTCATCTCTGGATTAGAGAGAGAGAGAGAGAGAGAGAGAGAGAGAGAGAGAGAGAGAGAGAGAGAGAGAGAAGAGAAAAGAGAATAAAGCAGGCAGCTGGTATTCAATACTTTATCTCCACATTAAATTTCTCTCCTATCTGCATTCATTCATTGTCTTTTTAACCCACAGCTAGAACACCCCTCCTCCTTTCTGCGTGCTATATATATAACGCACTCACTCACTCAACACTCTCTCAGATTTCACAACCCATCATCAGAATCATATGTTAACCACTGTGTGTAATTAGCATTCCTTTTTTCATTTTTCTTTATTTTCATTAGGTATGGAGATTTCATCTGCTCTTGCATGGCTGACAACGTGTTTGCTTCTAACCCTAACTTCTTCTACCGATTCTCAAAGCTTAATTAGCCGACGTAATCTTCTCGGAAATGGCCTTGGTTCCACTCCTCCAATGGGGTAATGACTACTTTTTATTCATACATTAATTATTTAATTTCAAGCACAGAGTTTTCAATTATATTCCTGGTTTGTTTTGTTGCTGATTCTACTTTAAATGTTTCAGATGGAGTAGTTGGAATTATTTCAACTGTAAGATTGATGAATCAACAATCAAACAAACAGGCATGCAATGCAACCACCTTTTTTTTTTTAATTATTTCTTTTCTTGCTCGAAATTTCTTTTCAATGTTCTATTAATATTATTGAAAAAAAAATTTACAAGAACTTGTATTCCCTGTCATAAATTTTTGAGTGTTCTTTATTTTGTCAGCTGATGCTCTCGTCTCGACTGGTCTTGCTAAGCTCGGATATAAGTATGTCAACATCGGTAAATTTCTTTCTCGATCCTATTTTCACCATCTTTTAAGTATGTAATTAAATATATGAATTTATGTCAATGTTGGACAACTTTCTGACGGAGAATCGTATAACCTGACTCTTAGATGATTGCTGGGCCGAAAGTTCTCGAGATGACAAGGTTCATTTATTTATTTATTTATTTTTACTTCTCTGGTAAACTATTGATTGAGTGTACATTTGATTTTTATTATTTTTAAATATATACCTTATGAAATTAAATTGAAATTGCAGGGTGCTCTAGTGCCTAAGAGAACCACATTTCCTTCCGGTATTAAAGTTTTGGCTGACTATGTTCATAGCAAGGGACTTAAATTGGGAATATACTCTGATGCTGGGTAATTTCATTTAAATTTTTTTTCAACGAATATATAAACATTTAATAGTTATTATCGCTCATGCACACGGTTCGTTTTGGTTGCAGTTTCTACACTTGTAGCAAAGAACAGCCCGGTTCACTCGGGCACGAGGAACAAGACGCCCAAACCTTTGCTTCTTGGGTACCAAAATCATTAATCATTCTTTAATTTCTTTAATTTGTGGTTCTTTTAAAAAAAATTATTGGTAATACATTAATATTAATTATTTGGGGTGCATGCAGGGGATTGATTTTTTGAAGTACGACAACTGTAACAATGATGGATCGAGGCCAACACTTCGATACCCTGTGATGACGAGAGCTTTGATGAAAACCAAGCGGCCAATCTTCTTCAATCTATGTGAATGGTGATTTCTTTTTTTTTTCTTTTTTTTGTTCAAGCAACTACTACTTATTTGATTCTCTTTTGTTTCTGTCAATTTTGATCGTGTTTTTTTCTTTTATTCTTCGGGGGCAGGGGAGATATGCACCCGGCCTTGTGGGGTTATACGGTTGGAAATAGCTGGAGAACCACAAACGATATTTCCGATACATGGGAAAGGTACCTATACATATATACATATACACATATACATATGTAATATCATATTTTTAATTTTAGTTAACTAATAAGAATTTTGCTGCAGCATGGTCTCAAGAGCAGATCAGAATGAGGTTTATGCAGATTTTGCTAGGCCTGGTGGATGGAATGGTTCGTACATTTATGTATATATTCGTCTTGAATTACATTTTACGGGCTTATGTATTCAATTATTTAGATATAAAATGGTTGGTATATTTGGACAGATCCTGATATGCTTGAGGTTGGAAATGGAGGGATGACCAAAAACGAATACATCGTTCACTTCAGTATTTGGGCTATTTCAAAGGTCAGTATATCTTCGGTTATAATAACGATTCCTATTTCATGGTTTTTAGACTATAAATAACTTCTTTTTTCTTGTTGCTTCCTTTGTAATTACATATATATAATCAGTCTCCACTCGTAATCGGCTGCGATGTGAGAAATATAAGTAAAGAAACAATGGAAATTATAGCTAACAAGGAGGTGATCGCCGTTAACCAAGGTAAACCCCATATATCAGATGTACAAATATATATATATATCATCAATTCGTCTGACTCATTTTTTTCGTATTCAAATTTCGCTCTAGTAATTTTAATTGTTGATGAATATGTGGTGCAGACAAGCTAGGTGTTCAGGCTAAAAAGGTCAGGATGGAAGGTGATTGGGAGGTAACTAATAAATCCTTGTCTTTAGTTTTGTATAAAACATTCGTATACAGTGAGGAAGCCAGCATAGGGTCGGGGGCCATAGCCCCCCAACATTTCTCAAATCCCTAGTATTCTATATATGTGTGGGTTTTGGTGGTAGGTGTGGGCAGGGCCACTTACGCACGACAGAATAGCGGTATTGCTCCTGAACCGTGGAGCGTGGCTCACCTCAATTACCGCTCACTGGGAAGATATAGGCATCGCTCCGGCGACTACTTTTAAAGCAAGAGATCTTTGGAAGGTACACTTTATTTTTTATTTTATTTTTTTTAATTTCTGCAAAAATAAAAATATATTCATATATAATTTATTTTGATGTTATTTTGGTTGGCAGCACAAGACCCTGAAGCCAAGATTTACTGGGAATTTGACAGACTCTGTTGAAGCACATGCATGCAAGATGTTTATACTGTCACCAGTTTATTGATGCCATGCATGAAAGTTTATATGTATGCTGTAATAACTGATTAATGATCTCGATTTTCTAATGAAACGACGCTGCTTTGATATATTGCATACTTTTCTCCTCTAGCTAATTACAAAAATATATATGCACTTAATTTTATACATTCAAAAAAACATACTTTTCGAAGTGATTTACTCGTAATTTTCCTCAAGTTTCTTCTTAATGCCCCTTGAATATCTTTCTGCATTACGCGGTGGGAGGTGGAATCTTGCTGAGAGAGGTTTCGCTTCCCTCGTTTTTCTGTTAAACCCTCGGAAACATACGTATCCTGTTTTTGTTTTTTTTTTTTTGGTGAAACAATAATCAAACATGGTTTTAAGTTTGCAAAATATAATTTATTTTAATGTTCCTTACCCTTCCAAAAGCATTTCTGAACTTCGTGCGTTTTCATCCCTGCAATTACACGAAAACAGAACACTCAAATAAATATATTAAACTTGAAATTACTGATCTTGGGGTAATAATATGGTATTTCAATTTCGATTTCGACCTCTGCATACTGCTGAAATGTTGTTTCCACAGTACAAAGTTCTGCGCGGAAGATGCCGTAAAGATTCCGTCGGAACTTTTATCGGAACTTGGCTAGACTCATCGTCAGCAAACACCTGCTCATAAAAAAGACTTTATCTATATTTTAAAACAGATGTTCTATTTCTGCCTAATCAGCATTATTATTATTATTATTTTTCTTTTTTGCAATTGAAAAGCATAGTCACCTCATTAGCTTGAAAATACGTTCCATTAAGCGGGAATATTCCTCTCACTCCTGTTCGGACAGGTATCTGAAACATATATTCTCGTACTTTTCAATCCAATCATTTAATTTTTTTTTTTATAAACATTTTCGTGATTTGTCTTACCAGAAGTGTGCCATTTACTGTATCTTCTTCCGAATTACATTCATCCGTATCGACATTTTCTGAGTAGTCGTGTAGTAGATTGTATTAGGACAAGTAAGTATAGTATTATGAGTACAAATACTTGCAGCCTTTTTAATAAATTCTTTTTACATATTTAATTTGTGTACCTCGAGTCCATACAGCGAGTAGATACGGGCACGAGTCATTAGATTCTCTTTTGTCTAGCTGCAGAAATATCAAACACTTATGATTTAGCTTATCTTATAAAAGAAAATACCAAATAAATTAATCACAGTATATTTAGTGAAGCAACTACCCCTGCCAAAACATGGTGCAAATCCGGAAGCACGAAGCTGCAATTAACAATCACAAATCATATTAGATATTTATACAACAGTATAAAATTAAAGATAATCACCGAGTTTATATAAAAAAAAATAAAAAAATAAAAAAGAATTGTAATTAATTACAACGTACACTTGATGCTCCGTCCTTAAATGGGTTCTATTCTTGAATTTAGGCATTGGGATGGAAGAAGTTTCCAATGTACGAAGCATCAAAGCTTTCGACATTTGGCCGTGTTCTTCTTCGAGTGGAATATTCCTTTCATTGATGAACTTATGTACATTCTCCCTCAATTTCTCCTCGTCGATTCTAATTTCGGGTATTGCATGATTAATAAGACCAAAATCCTCGATATCACA